CCCCTTTCCCCTTTCTCTCTCTCTTTCTCTCTCTCTTTCTCTCTCTCTCTCTTTCTCTTTCTCTCTCTCTTTCTCTCTCTCTCTTTCTCTCTTTCTCTCTCTTTCTCTCTCTTTCTCTCTCTTTCTCTCTTTCTCTCTCTTTCTCTCTCTTCCTCTCTCTTTCTCTCTCTTTCTCTCTCTTCCTCTCTCTTCCTCTCTCTTCCTCTCTCTTCCTCTCTCTTCCTCTCTCTCTCTCTCTTCCTCTCTCTCTCTCTCTCTCTCTCTCTCTCTCTCTCTCTCTCTCTCTCTTTATTTGAGAGGGAGAAACAGAGAGGTCTTCCATCCACTGGTTACTTCCCAAGTAGCTGCAACGGCTGGAGCTGGGCCAGGCTGGAACCAGGAGCTTTTTCTGGGTCTCCCACATGACTACAGGGTCCCGAGCACTTGAGCCATCTTCTACTGCTTTCCCAGGCCATAGCAGAGAGCTGGATCGGAAGAGAGCAGCCTGGATATGAACCGGTGCCTATATGGGACAGCAGCGCCATGGGACAGTAGCTTAGCCTACTATGCCACAGTGCCAGCCCCGCATATCTGTTTCTAACAAGTCAGTGCCTGAGTGTACTCGTTTTTAAAATGAACTACTTTTTACTTTTTTCTTTGAGAAGCAGACAAGGACACAGGTCTTTTGTCTGCTGGCTCACTTCCCAGTGCCTACGACAGCTAGGGCTGGGCCAGGCCAAAGCCTGGAGCCCAGAACTCAGTACAGCTCTCCTGTGTGAGTGGTGGGCACCTAACTACTTGAACTGTCACCTGCTGCCCCCCCCCCCTCCGGGTGCAAATCAGTAGGAAACTGGAATGAGGAGTGGAGCTGGGACTCCGACCCAGGTGTTCCAGTAGGGGGTGGGGGTGCTCCAAGGCCAGGTGCCTGCCCCTCCGCGTCCCTGTCGAGGAGATGGGAATCCCATGGTAGCAGTCTCGGGACTGTCCCACTGTCCTGAAGATGCCCTGCTGCTGTGTGACCCATGCTCAGAGAGGCGCCCGGTTAGGTGCGTGGTGCTCACGGCTTCCTGGGAAACTCCCCTAACTGGAAGAAACCGCTTTATCACTTTGAGGTCGGAGATGAGTCGGAGTGCTTTTTCAAGTGCTATATGACAGCATAACTACCAAAACCAGGGCAGTTGGGGTGAGGTTGGGTGCATTTCCGGAGAAACAGTTCCTGTGGCTGCTGGGGCATGAGGACTGCTCTTTGGGATAGCTGGAACTGTTGACCATTTCTGTTTGCATCTGTGGTGGAATTACCTCGCCCCCTGGAGTTGTCCTAATGGTGAGCTTTTGTTCTGGTTTTACGTTGACATTGAAAAGCGAATCAAACACTGATTTAAATATTAGCTCCTGGTCTGTATTTAGCACCTCCCTTCTGTCAGCCTCTTTGGAATTCCAGACATAAGGACTGCACATTTCAGGAAGTGGAGACATCATTAATTATAAAGTGTTGCTTTATGTGATCATAATTGCATGCGATTATGTCATTGAAATGCTAAAGGTGCCTTCCTTTAATGTGGCAGTTAATGAATCCTGACTTAATGCAGAGTCCTAAGATATAAAAGCGCTGTCTGGGAGGCCCCACATGGTGTTGTGCATTTTCCCCCAGGTTCTGAGTTACCCATAGGACTTGTCCCCCCACCCCCCACCCCAAGGAAAAGCGCCTGTCTTGCCTGCTGGCCCAGTGCCTGAGCCTGGGGTTGGGAGTAAGAGCCTTCTTACTATTTGGAACCCAGGCATCGCCGTGTGTGGGACTCATTCACCTGCTCCCAAGGCCCTGGGTAGGGGCTGGGGTCCTGTCTCTGCAGAGGGAGGGGTCTCCTAGGGTGCAAATGACTGCGCCAGAGACTGGCAAAGCTGCAGCTGTTTTTGTGTCCTCTCCCCATGGCTAGTCTCTCTTAAGCCAGGAGAGAGCAGATTTGTTGCCTTCGGTCACCAGGTTCCAGGTGGGCAGTCAGGCTGTCCCAGGCTCCTTCCAACCTTAGATGCCTTTGGGCATTATCACAAATCCAAGCGAACACCACGTGCCAGACTGAACCCAAGATCTGGGCTCCACGAAAGCAACATGGCCTTCTGCCAGCCTTGTCCACTTCCACCCCCTGCCGCAGGATCTTTGAGCAGCCTTTGAGTGGCGAGCTGGAGCCCACATCCCAGGGAGGGCAGGACTGCTACAACTCCCCAGGCAGGAGCGGCCTGTTGTCCAGGTGTACCATGTCCAGGCTTGGCCACCAGAAGCAGATGAGCTGCGTGTGGGCACACCACGCTTACGGGACAGCTCGAGTCTCCCTAATGCATGCTCTCAAGGACGTAAGACGAAGTCCTATTCTGTTCCTGTAACAAAAGACCTGATGCTGAGTACCTTATAAAGAAAAGCTGCACTTAGCTCACAGTTTTGGAGATACTCAGGAACTTGGATGCACCGTCTTGGTCTGATGAGGGCCCCATTGGTTGCATCACAGCCTGGAGGGAGCCATCATGGTAGGTGCAGGAGAGAGAATTTCTTTTTAAATTTTTAATTTTTTAATTTTTTGAAAGATTTATTTATTTTGAAAGGCAGAGTTACAAAGAGGCAGAGAGAGAGAGAGAGAGAGAGAGAGAGAGGTCTTCCATCCACTGGTTTACTCTCCAGTTGGCCACAATGGTCGGGGCTGCACAGATCCAAAGCCAGGAGCTTCATCTGCGTCTCCACGTGGGTGCAGGGGTCTCAGGCACATTAGCAGGGAGCTGGATTGAAAGTGGAGCAGCGGGACTCGAACTGTCACCCACATGGGATGCCGGCGTCACAGGTGGCAGCTTTACCCGCTGTGCCACAGCACCAGCCCTGGAAGTTCTTGCCTTAGTGCAAGAAAGAATTCAGATGTAAGTGAGGTCGTAAAGCTGAATGAAGAGAAATGCACACGATAGACCAGGCAGGCATTCGTGAAGGACTGGGCGCCCCTCTGGGTTCAGAGCGGAGTTTATGGACGTGGTTATGGGTCCCCTGGTTCTGCTCCCCTCCCCCCCTTCTAGGAATTTGCTGGGTGGGGGTTTTCCAGATGTGGAATTCCTGAGAAATCCTCCCCAGGATCTTGGTGTGAGGGCAGAGGGATTCCCCCAAGCTGCTCCAGGGGAAGGGCTGAAGCCCACCTAAAGGATTACCAAAGAAGGGGGATGACGCGGGGGTCTCGCTACTGTGCCTTCACGGCTGGTTTCTGTGCTCCACTCATGCATTCTCTTTAAAAGGTCTCCTTTTCTCCCCGTTGTCTTCAGCAGCTCTTGTACACACAGGCTGATGCCCTCCTCGCTCCCTTAGCGGTCCCTTCCCAGGGCGGTGCAGCAGTGACCTCGCTGCTTCTCAACAAGCCCCGCCTCTTAGAGGTGCCGCCACCTCCACCGCCTCCACCCTGGGCACCAGGCTTTGGCACAGGAACCCTGCAGGGAAGAGCTCAAACCATGTCCAAACAATAGCAGGCTCCTAAGACAGTGTGAAGGCAAGGGAGGCAGGGGAGAAGAAAGGGGGAGGGTAAGAGGGGATGAGGAGGAAGGGAGGAGGCGAGGAGGAAAGAGGAAGAGGAGGAGGAAGGAGAACGTCAGAGCAGATGGCAGAAGCTAGCCTGCGTTCCCTGTGGCTATTTCCTTCTTTGAGTTTTGCCAGGGAACGGCGTGGAATTGCCAGTACTGACCATGCTGACGCACGCAGAGTGCAGCTAAAGTGGTTGGGTGTCTGAGAGCTGGGTTTGTGCGTGGCCTGTGAACATGAAGCCAGGACCCCGTGCGTGTGTCTCGCTGTTTCTCAGCGCTCCCCATCTGCCTCTCTCCGTCCTCTGCTTCCTCGCTCAGTAGCTGTCTGCAGCAGGCATTGGCAGGCACCCTCGCGCCGGCCACATCCTTCTTCCTGTCGCCTTGGGGGTCCCCCACTGGCCCTGTGTGACCCTGGGTTTGTCCTAATAGGGAAGTTTTCCCTCCAGAGTGAGCAGGCATGAGAGGAGCATGGTTTTTCCATGTCACAGGCTGTGTTTCTAGCTCATTCCAGAATATTAAAAGTGGACAGAGGGGAAGAATCTGGAAACTGCAGCAGCACCTGCGGGAGAGTGCCCAAGCTCCCGCGTTCATGATTCTTCCAAAACCGCACCCCCTGCCCTGCGGATTACGACAGCTACGTGGTTGACAGCTTCATCTCTGGTTTCGATCCAGTGCCATGACTGTGTGGGTG